AAAAAAATTCATTAAAAATAATAGTATTATAATTTATTAATAATTCATATCATTTTTCATATGAATACTATCTTATTTATATATTTCCTGACTTGCGATCAAAAAAATTATCAAATATTCTCCATTATCACTCATAGTACCAATAATGTTTCCGAAATTTTCAAATTAATCAAATTCTATTCCTTCTTCTACATATTTACAATTCCAATTTTCAGAATCAAAGTTAAACTATATTAAATTTATAAAATATCCATTTTTAGAAATAAGTAATTATCTTGAAGGTATATAAATTTAGGGAAAATAATAGTAACAGCCTTATTCAGCACCTTAAACTTATAGTTCCTTTGATTTTGTATATAATCCAGTAGATAGATCGATTGTGTAGAATTATAAATGTGTTCCATTGCATGGTTAAAATACAAAGTTATCTTTTGTAATAAATGATATACGAGAACCAAGCTCAGAAATCTTTTGTTAAACATAACATAATTATCCATTAAATCTTTCCATTCACAAAATTTGTTTATCTCTACCACAAGAAACTAATTTTGTACCATCTTAATTTATAGATAACCCAAATACATAACTAGTATGTTCTCGAAAAGTTTATGAACATGACCAAGTTGAGTATTATGAATAAGACCAAAATTTAATAGAATTATCAGTAGCTCCACTAATAATTAAGTTTTCTGAATTAGGATCTACAACTAAACATAAAATACCACGCATATATCCTTTTAGTTTTGTTAAGTATTTGAGATTTTATAAAAGATTTGATGACTAAATAATAATTGATGAATCATATGAACCAGAAATGAATTATGATTTTTTGCAAATATTTTAATTCATTTTTTAAATATATTACCTTGCAAAAAAGATTAGATCCAATAACTAATAGAGTATTATTATTATTTATAGCTTATGTAAAAGTATGTATTGGATATTATTGTGATATTGAAAGTAGAATCTAATAATTGAAGTGCTTTTATTAGTTTTTTTACTCGGTTTATGATTATTATTGGATCATAATATAATTATATATAATGTAATTTAATTAATTGCCTTATTAATAACAGAAAATGAAAATTAATAATCAGGATGAGATTACTAATAAATTTATGTTTGATTCAAAATTATTATGTAATTACTGTGGATTTAAGATGCTTACTTGATATGATTTAAAAAAGTATAGTTCTTTATGATAAGATTATGATGACTTAAAGAATAAATCAAATGAATAAAATTAAGAATCAATTAAATTTATCTTTAGAATTAAAAATAACTAAAATTTAAAGTCATAATTTTATGGACTTATGAAGAAAATACAGAATCATTGGTATAAATGATGGATTAAGAGGACGATATTCAAATTCTGTCAGCAAATTATAAAGAAAATGAACAATTTCAATAAAGGAATTATTAATATAATTATAGTATTCATAGAATTTTAATTAAATGCATTGGTTAGTTTTAAAAATATATTAATTGAAGAATATGAAAATGTTATTATAATATTATAATATTTTTAGAAAACACTATCTTCAAATAAATTAAGTTCTAAATATTAAATTGTAGCTATTTATTTAATTTAAATATAAAAAATTTCTATAAGCCAAACCTGCCGATGATAGGCTATTACAAGGTAATTTATAGGTACAATTTCGATAATCATAGCCAAATTATTTGGCTTTTCTATGTTTATTGCTGATCTCTCAAATGATATTCTTTATCACATTGATTCATTTAATATATATTCCATAAAATCATTTAAATGCCTTGAAAAAATATTAAGGTACATTAAAAGAATTTAGCAAAAGATTATTATTTCTCTAACTACTTTAGATTTTGAGATAAAAGTTCATAGGCTAATTGCCATTTCTACTTATTTAGTATAGGTATCATTTTACTAGTTCAAATGATTATTATAATTATTAATCTGAATGAAATGCTCTTTTCATTCTTTTAACATTAATTAATTAAGTTCCTATAAATTTAAATTTAATTCTACTTTTGGATCTTATCCTAATTATTCAAATATTTATACCATTCCTTAATTGAATATATTATCCCAATCTCCTCCTTCATATCTTGCTCTACCTAATTTATATCTAATTAAATAACCATTATCAATATAATCAACGACCATTTGCAATATCATCAAACCATTAACCTTCATATATATCACAATTAACATGCACTTCTATTTTATAATACCTATCTTACCCATTGATTTTTATTGCAATCAACTTTGTTTTTGTTTGTTTCCCTTTTGTGGCTTATAACAAAGAAATATATGAAAACCTTCCAACTAATTTTATAGCATTTTCTCTTTTAATTAATTTTGAAGTAGAACTGTGATCTATAGAATTATTTCTTGATCCTGCCAATTTTCATCCTTTCAATATCCTACTTTTATTTCAAAACTGAAATGATAATACAATTCCTTTTTGATCTTAATAATATTTCTCACAATATCTTTTATTTTTATTTATATATCAATCCGTCATTTTTTTTTGAAGAAAATTTAAAGCTTTTTCTTCTATTTTAGATAACTTTTCTAATAGTTCTAACTCTTGTTTTATTTTGTAATATTTGGACTCTCTAATTTCTACAATTGCTAATATAAATTAAAAAAATGATCTGCAAGCATATGATACCCTTTAAACTTATTCAATTGATAGTGAATGTGATAAAATCAACATCTAAATGTCTAAGATAATCTAAAAATTAGATATCATCAAGTATCTTTTGACAAGCTGCCCAATTTGAATTTTCTCCTTTAAATTTCTAATCTAATAGGACACAAACCATTGTCATTACCTTTTCAATTATTACATGAGGATGAGCCATTCTTTTAATTTCAGATATATCTTATTTGCACAATGAATTTAAGCCAAAATCTGCACGTTATTTTCTTTGCAATAAATCCTGAATACTTTCATCCTGCGGATTGTTTTATTTATATTCTTTAATCTTTGATAATCTCATTGATAATTATTATTAAATCTATGGAATCCGATTTGGTATCAAATAAATAACAATCGAATTACCTCTTTGGCTGACCAATCTAAAATTTAAAAAATCTTTAAAGTCAATAAATTCTAAAATTTGGTTAAAGACTTCAGCTCTAACTTTATGAAGCAGATTCTATGTTTATGTTTAAATATTTAGATCTTCTAATTACTAATTAATAGTGTTGATATTAAGAAATAAATTTGAAAGAATTTAATTTTGGTCTTGATTCTTACTATTTAATAGCTGTATATCTTTAAAAAGTTTTTCTAACATAACAATAATAATTGATTTTTATTATAAAAAATAATTATAACTGATAAAATATTTAAACTAATACATTTAGCAACAAGTAAACATAAAAGAAAAATTAGTAAAGATTCAGTCTTGATAGTGTTAAAAATATACCCATCAAAGTATTTAAAATATTAAATATCATTTAAAAATTGAGAAAATTTGTTAATATTACATATTAAATTATGTTATTTATTAATAAATTATCATTTGATAAGTCATATCCCTATTCTTCTATTATTTATTATTGCAAATATCATTTCATACAAATAACACACTTAAAAAATCATGGCAGGATTTCCTTCCTTTTTTGCATATTAATATATTTTATATTATATTTAATTCTTGATTTTTATTCTTTATAATAATTTATCAATTCCAAAATGTGAATAATAAGGAAATCAAAATTAAAATTTTTCTTATTATTATCTTTTCAACTTATTGATCTCAAATTATTAAAACTTCTTATTTTTCATTAAATTATCTATCCTATTCTTAATTACCAAAACTATTGAATAAAGATTCAAGTCCATAATTTTTGGTTCAAGTTAAATAAAATATATACTGTATAATGGTGGAAAACTTAAAATTTAAAGCTATTTGAAATCATTATCATTTATAAACAAGATTCTATACCCAAAAGTATTTCCTCTCTTTACTTTATTCACTAGAACCCTTATTAGCCATCATTTTTATGATCTGTAATGGTTTATTGATAAGATTATGAATGAATTAAGAAGAGAGAAATAAAATCTTTCAAATGGTTGAAGTATGAATTAGGAATAAGTAGCAAGAAATTTACTCTAAAAAGGCTTAAAGTATATATCATGTAATAAATTTACATATAATTTATGTGCATTATATTTTTAATTCATCTTAACTAATAGAATACTTCTATCTTGATAATGTGAAACTATTAATTATGTGTAATCCCCCTAAATTATATATAATTAATTTAATAAATTTCATGATTGATATTATAAATTTCTATAAAATAAATACTTTCAAGTGCTGATCTTGAAAACATATTGTTGTTATTCTTTTTTGTGCATTTTAAATTGAAATTAACTTTTCTTCATTCTCACTTATAGTTTAAACAGAAAATTTATAACTTCTAGAATCTCTTTTGATTCTAAAAGTGCCTTGGCGGATATGCAATAATTAGAAATTATTAATTTTGATAAAGCGATATGGTATTTTATGAGAATCAAATTGAAAATCTTATATACTAAAAATTTAGAAATCATATATTAAACAAAAGCAGGAATTATTTTAAGCATGTTCAGTGACTATAATAATGAGTATTCACCTTAACCTAAAATAATAAAAAATTTAGAATAAATTAGATATCTTCAATGGCATGCGTAATTTTTTCAGGACTTGTTATTTTTTGAAAAATGAGGATTCAAAAGAAAAAAAAAATTTGTATTCTTATTTAAGATAAGCTCAATAGGAACTATAAAATTGATCAAAATTCTTGAGATAAATAAATTTTAATTTTTTTTCAATTCTGATAAATTTTTTTACTATAATTCAAAGGACGAAATTACTATTTTTAATTTATCAGATTTTGCAATTCAATTGGAAAATCTTATTCAATAAGAAATAGCTGATATTAAATTCTGAAGTTTCTTTTAATATTATTTCAGCAAATTAAACAGATCCTGTTGTAAATATTAAATTCAAGATAAAAATTTATGATTAGGAGTTTTGAATTATTTTAAAAAAGGGCAATTTTTTATTGAATTACTCATCCTATTAACTCCAAAAAATAGCAATATCTAACTTTTTTCATGGCCAATAGATTCTATAAAGATTTTAAATGATAATGTAACACAAATTAAGGGTCCTATATTATTGTCTGAAATTACTTTTAATTAAAATAACATAGATGGAATACAAATAAAGATTTTTAAACTTTGATATCTATCTCATGATAATTAAACTTAAGAGCAGAATTTTTTTTGTACACTAAAGGCGAAGACAGATATATTTTATCAATAGAAACAATAAATTTTAGATTTCTAAAATAGTGAAGAATAAATACTGGTATTATTTTTATGCTAATCAATGAATCAATTAAATGGAAAAATTTATGTAATTGAAAAGATTCATAAAATTTTGTAATTAAAAACCTCATAAATACAACTAATATTATACTTTTTTATGAATATACAGAATATAGACTTTTTAAAACAGGTAATTTAAATCATATTTTACTTTGAGTCCTATTAAATAATTTACATAATTTGTAACATACATAATTTGTAACAATGCCATTAAAAAGTTCAAAATAATTTGAAAATTTTAGAAATCCATAAAATTAAAGGAACAATGATTAATACATTACGCTCTCTAAATTGAATTCTAACTTATAGTATTTTTTCTAAATTCTTTCTTTTATTGATGATTATTATATTTCTTATGGAAATGCAACCCTTTTTTTGGATTCGATTTTAATTGAATTCAAAAACTTGATAAAGATAGATAATAATGCAAAATTATTTCTTTCAATGAACTGTTAGATTCGCGACAGTATTACAAACGAGGGAAATTTAAAATTTTCTTGGCAATATTCAATTTTGAGTCATATTGTAATAAATTTGGAAAGTTTTTCAATTTAATTTATACCATAAAAGTTTCTCAGAAATGGAATAGATCAAGATTTTGTAACATTAGAATTTTATAATAAGCATGTTCTTATTTTAAAATCATTCTAAAATGTAACTTACTTTTATGATTTGTATTAAGATTAAAAAATTTATGATTATGTCGAAAGACTTAATTAAAATAATTATCATTATTTTCCTTTTAATATACTTAAGGTCTTTTTAATTTCTATTATACTACTCACTTCGTTATTTTTTCTGCAAACACTGGGTAAATATAACTAGGTGAAATTGGTTATAAA